ACTCCGTCTCAAAAAAAAAAAAAAAAAAAAAAAGAACTTGCCCATATAGACTTGGACTTCATCCATTGTTAAATTCTTTAATAGAAAATAACTGAATCAGACATGGTGGCTCATGCCTGTGATCCCAGCTCTTTGGGAGGCTGAGGAGGGAGGATAGCTTGAGTCCAGGAGTTCAAGACCAGCCTGGGCAACATAGTGAGACCCCCCCACCTCTACCAAAAAAATTTAAAAATTAGCTGGGCATGGTGGTGCACACCTGTAGTCCCAGCTACTTGGGAGGCTGAGGTGGGAGGATCACTTGAGCCCAGGAGGTTGAGGCTATAGCAAGCTATGATCTCACCTTTGCACTCCAGCCTGGGCAACAGAGCAAGACCCTGTCTCTAAAAAAAAAAAGAAAAGAAAGTATACTGAATGTCAACATGCTATTTCTATAATGTCTACAAACATACGTGTGTGTTATATGTACATACACATATAAACATAGACATATGTGTGTACATTTATATTGAAGTAATGTTCAAGCTCTAATAATAGCTATGTGTATACTGCTTCCTATGCACAAGGCACTGTACTAAGACCCTTACAAGACCCTACAGACTTAGGAAACTAACGAGAGAGACTGTTGGAGCTACACTTAGTTTTTGAGTTTTGACTGTGAAGGTGAGATAAAGCGACAATGAGATTTTTCATACATTTGATGAATATAATCAGTACATCTAAAAATGTAGAACAAAACCACACTCACATTTTTTCTATTTGTGGAGTGAATAATTATGACTTCGGTTCCCAATTTCACTCTTTCTAAATGGCATGCCTTAATACAATAGGATTCTAAACATGCTGGTGGTACTTTAGGGCTTTTCAAGGAAAACAAAATATGTCTAGAGACAAGTCATTATTACAAGAGCTTTAATAATAGAGATTTCCATTCGTGATTATCTTCAGATTAATGGCCCAGGAACATAATTAAATTTTTCTTAACTCAAATGTCATCATTTTTGCATTACCTTGACTTCCATAAGTGAGAAAATATTATGGGTAAAAATTCCCAAAAGGAAATGCAACTATTTTTACCTATCTATAAGTTTAATATTTTTAACAATTCTTTCAATCTTTTATGTTAATCCCGTTATAAAAGGTAAGCATTTTACTAGCCCTTGGTTCAGTAAAATAGAGATAAAAATACTGGTGATGCCCTGCCTGGTTTGTATTGTCATTCAAAATATTAAATTAAGGGAATTTCAATAAATGTCCCTTTAAAAGTAAGGGGTGTTACCTGTTTGTAAGAGATCAATTTTCTTCCTATACCAAAGTCTTTGTCAGTCATAACGACTAAAATTCTCCAATTTGATTACAGTTTTTGTTTTGTTTTTTTTTTTTTTGAGACTGAGTCTAGCTCTTGTCCCCCAGGCTGGAGTTCAATGGCGCGATATCCTCTCACGGCAACCTCCATCTACCGGGTTCAAGCGATTCTCCTGCCTCAGCATCCCAAGTAGCTGGGGGATTACAGGCGCGTGCCACCAGGCCCGGCTAATTTTTGTATTTGTAGTAGAGACGGGGTTTCACCATGTTGGCCACGCTGGTCTTGAACTCCTGACCTCGTGATCCAGCTGCCTCAGCCTCCCAAACTGCTGGGATTACAGGCGTGAGCCACTGCGCCTGGCCTGATTACACTTTTAACCAAATAATTCAACAGAATTATGAGAAAATGAACCCAATGCTGTTTTTCTTTTTTTTTCTTTTTAATACCATTCTCATTCCTGGGAGCGTATTGTCTCTCATTTTGCATCAGAAGCAGCGCAGAAAGAAACAGCCTCCGTGCTACGCCCCCGTCACATGAGTGCTGACAGGGACAGTGCGAGGACACCCTACTCAAGTCAGCTTAGCTCTGTCGGGTCCCCTCTCTGTGGTCCCTCTGCTCCATACCCGGAGCTCAGGGCATCCGGCCACCTGCCGCCTCCCCTCAGGAGAGTGCTGGGCCAGCTTCCTCCCAGGGTTCCCTTCTGAAGCGCTTCATGGTGACCGGGCTGCAAGGACAATTGCTTCAGGCTGCAGGGGCCCTAGTCACTAGATAACTATGTGCCCCGCAATCTTTTTAAAATTTTCTTTTAGATCCTAACTCTGCTTTCTTCCACTCTCTTTCACAACAAAGTGATTTGCGTCATGTGGATTGGGTGAAGTCCTATTTGAACATTTGGAGTGAGCTTCAAGCATACATCAAGGAACACCACACCACGGGCCTCACATGGAGCAAAACAGTGAGTACCTGGCCCTCCTCCACCCGTGTAAAAAAAGTCCATAACTATATATACACCCTGTGGCCCAGTAATCTCACACCTTAAAACTTACCTCAAGGAAAACATAAGATTAAATGTCCATGCAGAGGGCCAGGCGCGGTGGCTCAAGCCTGTAATCCCAGCACTTTGGGAGGCTGAGCTGGGCAGATCATTGAGGTCAGGAGTTCAAGACCAACCTGGCAAACATAGCAAAACGCTGTCTCTAGTAAAAATGTGAAAATTAGCCAGGCATGGTAATGCAAGTCTGTAATTCCAGCTACTCAGGAGGCTGAGACATGAGAATTGCTTGAACCCAGGAGGCAGAGGCTGCAGTAAGCCGAGATTGCACACTGCACTCCAGCCTAGGCGACAGAGCAAAACTCTGTCAAAAAAAAATGCCCATGTAGAAACTGTTTATGGAAATGTTATTTGTGGTAGGAGAAATTTCGGAACTGCCTACATAACATAGAAAAGAAAATGGCTAGCCGGGCGCGGTGGCTCACGCCTGTAATTCCAGCACTTTGGGAGGCCGAGGTGGGTGGATCACCAGAGGTCAGGAGTTAAAGACCAGCCTGGTCAACATGGTGAAACCCCATCTCTACTAAAAATACAAAAATTAGTTGGGTGTGATGGCGCATGCCTATAATCCCAGCTACTTGGGAGGCTGAGGCAGGAGAATCGCTTGAACCTGGGAGGCGGAGGTTGCAGTGCACCAAGATCATGCCACTGCACTCCAGCCTGGGCAACAGAGCAAGACTCTATCTCAAAATAATAATAATAATAATAATGTGTGATAGAAGTTGAAGGGAACAAGAAGGTTTGGAGACAGGTGTACACGGAAAGCTATGCAGCCATAAAACAGAACAAAAATCATGTCCTTTGCAGCAACGTGGAAGCCTCTAGAGACCATTCTCCTTTCCATTAGAAATTAATGTTACAGTGGACTTAGGGGACTTGAGGGAAAGGGTGGAAGGGGACTGAGGGATAAAAGACTACAAACTGGATACAGTGTACACTGCTCGATTGATGGGTGTACCAAAGTCTCACAAATTACCACTAAAGAACTTACTCATGTAACCAGGAATTAACGCGGGAACAGAAAGCCAAATACCACGTGTTACCACTTACAAGTGGAAGCTAATTAATGGGTACACATGGACATAAAGATGGGAACAACAGACACTGGGGACTACTAGAGATAGGATGGAGGGAGGAGTCCAAGGACTGAAAAATTACTTACTGGGTACCGTGCCCACTACCTGGGTGACGGGATCATTCACACCCCCAAACCTCAGCATCACACAACATACCCACGTAACAAACCTGCACATATATCCCCTGAACCTAAAGTAAAGGTTGAAATTACCCCCCCCCAAAAAAAAAAAAAGGAAGACAGATGTAATTTTAATGAGGAGGAATTATGATTAAAATGTCCTTTAAATGTTCTTAACTTCTGTTTTAGTGTTCTAAAGTGTATTGAATAGTATTTTTCAATACCTAGGTGATCCTAGGACTTTGGTATCTTAGTAGCAGCATAAGATCCCGGCCTGTGTCTGTTCCCACTTTAATTCCTATGTGAGATGTTGCACTGACCTTTGCCCCTTTCGACTTTCTCTCTTACATCCTCTCCCATGTTTCACCATGTGTTCCAGCAACCCCTCACTCCTTGTGGTATCCTGAACAAAGTCAGTGCTTGGATTGCACCAAATGAAACGGATGTTGTTTCAAAATTTACCAGACTCATATTGTGTAACCTTTATTGCAATGTCCTGAGCCTATATCCTGCTGTATAACCTAACTTCCCCCGGGGAAGTGCCCCTACCTCTTCTGCAAGGCTCACCTCACACATCACCTCTTTGAGAAACTTCCATTGATCTCCATCAGCTCCCCATCTGGGTTGGGTGGCTCTGCTCTCTGTCTGCCTCCTTTGTATCTTGAGTATACCTCAGTCATATCCTTGGCATATGGAATGGTGCTTTACTGTGTGCTTTGGGGACTCTCCCACTAGACTGGAAACTCATCTCTGTCTCCAGCCCCAGTGTAGTGCCTGGCACAGAGTAAGTTTACAGTAAATGGTTTGAACTAAACGATCAGTGAGGGGACTCTTAAGAGTGTTTCTTGCCCTTTTGAGTCTCTGCACTTGCTTCTCATGGAAACTCCTTTCCGTTAGAACTTAATGTTACGGTGGACTTAGGGGACTTGAGGGAAAGGGTGGGAGGGGGCTGAGGGATGAGAGACTACACATTGGGTACAGTGTACACTGCTCGGGTGATGGGTGCCCCAGAGTCTCACAAATTACCACTAAAGAACTTACTCATGTAACCAGACACCATCTCTTCCCCAAAAACTTATGGAAATCAGAATAAAATAAAGAAATTAATGTTAACTTGAATGAAACAGCTTCTTTGTGAATTCCATTCAGAGGTAAAACTCTCACTGTCCTGAAAGCAGTACCCCAGCACCTAACCCCAGCACCTAACCCTCAGTGCTGGATATCCCCGTCAGTATAGTAAGAAGGCTTCATGCTAAAGCAGAGTTTGTGGTTTTTCAAAAGAGTGTGGGGGCTTCTACATTTGTTTTCCAACACTTATACAAATGTTAACATTGACCCTTCAAGATCGATGTTTCTTTTTATATTCTACTTTGCCTATTTTCTCCATAGCACTGAAATGCACAGTGCAAGATACAACTAAGTGGGTTAATTTTTTTTCTGCGCACAACATTGTGACTTTTGAGAAGAGAGTTCAAAAACATGTGAAGGGTTTTAATAAGTAAGGGTATGTGTGGATATGGATGGGTGTTTATGTAGACTCATTGGAATTATTTTTTATCGATTTCCAATGAGATCGTGTTTTGTTGTAGAGCCATGCATCATAAGGAGAAAGTGTCACATCTTTGCCATGGAGATAGATCATTATTAGAGAATAGTAAAATGAAAATCAGGAGCCCTTGACTCTATTATTATTTCATGGTAGATAAATGCCAGAGGAATGAGAATCCATTTATGGAAAATAGTGTCAACAAATGCTAGCCTGTTAATTCTCTAATGATGCCCATGGAAAATGAATAGAAAATTACTTTTAAATGGTTTGAAAACCTTTAATGCAATGTACTAAGCTGAGTAATTGTGTTTATGAATATAAAAGTTGATTATTAATTACAGAAAAATATAAATGTAGTTGTTTTCCTTTGTTCTAAAGTGAATACTTATTTCATTATGTTCAAGCTTCATAAAACAATACTTTCTCTTACTATGTACCACACATTCGGATATTTTATTTTTTATTTCATTTTTTATAAAATTTTGGCTGAGACCCGATAAATTGATTTCATGACCCCACTAGTGAGTCACATCTCACATTTTTAAAAATGTGTTATAAGCTGGGTGTGGTGGCTCATGCTTGTAATCCCAGCACTTTGGAAGGCTGAGGCGGGTGGATCACCTGAGGTCAGGAGTTTGAGACTAGCCCGGCCAACGTAGCAAAACACCATCTCTACTAAAAATACAAAAATTAGTCAGGCATGGTGACGGACACCTGTAATCCCAGTTACTTGGGAGGCTGAGGCAGGAGAATTGCTTGAACCCGGGAGGCGGTGGTTGTAGCAAGCTGAGATCGTGCCACTGCACTTCAGTCTGGGCAGCAGAGCGAGACTTGGTCTCAAAATAAATAAATAAATAGTTATAAAACGTAAGTGTTACATTTATACAAAATAAATGTGATCCATAGAGCACATCAGGCATCATGGATTGCCATGACAGCTGTTATTTATGTTATAGATATTACGTGCTCACATAATATGCCAGGGGAAAATTCTATTCAAAATGGTAGAAGCAAAGCATCTGCTTCACTTCTTTAATGGAAGAGCAAAGTGATAAAGTTTTGGTCAGATATTAAAAATGACTAAAGATATTGTGTCAAGTCTTAAAACATATGCCTAGAAATATATTTCCTGATTTTTTGTCTTATTTTTCCAAGTTTTGGGCAGCTATTAAAAAATATATTATAACAATTATATTTTTGAATTTTAAAATTAAATTTCTTTTAAATTATTAAAAACTACTTAAAGATTCCAAAGCATAGTCCATAGCATCAATTAAACTAATTTCTCTTGTCTTACTATGGCCTGTCAACATTCCAGCAAAATGAAGAATAAACAGTTATAGCCAGAGTTGCAGCATTCTTGCAGAGAAGAGAAAGGACTACTAGAATCATCTGATTGAATGGTCTTTGGGAGGGGAAAATAAAACAAGATCATTTCATTCGTTTGCCCACTGATCACAACTCTGTAAAAACTACATATTTATAAAATGATAAATATCATGAAAGAACATAGAAAGATGTGGTATTGATGTTCATGGACACCACAGTATTCAGAGATTTTTTAAAATTTAATTTAATTTTTTTTTTTTTTTTTTTTTTTTGAGGCAAGGTGTCACCCAGGCTGGAATGCAGTGGCATGATCATGGCTCACTGCAACCTTGACCTCTTGAACTCTAATGATCCTCCTGCCTCAGCCTCCTAAGCAGCTGGGACTACAGGCCTGCACCACCACCCTTGGCTAATCTTTTTATTTTTTTGTAGAGACAGAGTTTTGCCATGTTGCCCAAGCTAGTCTCGAACTCAGCTCAAGGAATTTGCTCGCCTCGGCCTCACAAAGTGCTGGGATTACAGGCATGAGCCACCGCATCCAGCCCAGAGGTTTTTTTTTTTTAAAAAAAAAAACCCATTCCATCTTAACAGACACAGTCCATTGCACAAAACTCCTACTTGCACCATGAAAAGTTTATGATGACTTAACATCTCAAGTACTTTCAGTAATTGTTGTTTTTTTCTATTTTCAAATCGGATTTTGAGATTTGCACTCTATGGAGTTTTTAGTAACTGACAGCATGCTGTTTGAGACCTGGCCTGTCCAAGGGCACGTGACTCTACAAAATCATCCTTCCCTGAGTTAACAGTTGGAGCTGAAAGTCCCTGATC